CTGGTTTTTAGGGTCTCTTGCTCTCTCTATTTTTTCTGGTTTTCAATGTTTCTTGCTCTCTCTATCTCTCTTGATATTCTTTTTGGTTTTTCTCTCCTATCTCTTGCTCTCTACAATGCCTTTCTATGTCAATGTGTAGTCAATGCTCTCTTTTTTACTGCTATTACTTTTCTTTTTATATCAAAGCATTAGGGTTTACAATTGTTTTTAAACTTCAGAATTTCTACACTTAGAAATATCCAAAAACCACTCTCTTGATGCACCCTTTTCCCCTAGAAATCCTACTTTTCTGCTGCACTTTTGCTGCTGTACCAAAACAATAGATCTTGTACATGCTTCAAATTTCAGAATTTCTATATTTGGAAATGCTTATTACCATTTTCTTGGTGCAGCCCCATATCTTTCCATTTCTAGCATGCTGCTTTTTGCTTTTGTTGCTGCACTTTCCTAGTGCTGTTTTTTTCCATATTGTCCTCCTTTACTCACTTGTCCTTGGATTATACTTGTGGTCTATGCTTCTACATTTGACAGCATTTTCAAAAATCTGAATTTTGGTATGCATGTGAACCAACATGAACTAATTCCTTAAGTTTGTGACATGGTTTATTTGGTTGGGAATTAGTTAGTCATGGGGCTGTTTGGATCAATTAAAAATGTCTTGAAATTGCCCATGAATAAGCATTAATGGTTATTCTTTTGAAATGTTCCAATGTTGAACCTTAATTATTTTCCTTGGATACTGAGTTTAATTTGTTATGAAATATATGTAGCACATGGATGTCACACCCTAATTTTTGACCATAAGATTCCACCTCCTTGTGCATCTTCTCCTATGTTGTCTTTCTACTTGTGTGTACATGTTTATTGCGGCTAACCAATTGTGCAGATGCAGTGATTCCAGATGGAGATAATATCCATTCTTCCCTTTTTTTAAATACTCCACGACATGGTCAATTGAGCCTGTTTCAGATGGATTACGGGGTTTTATTGGTTTTCCTCAACATCTCTTAAAATCATCAACGCCTGCCCCAGAGGAGAAGTGTTTTTTTTTATTTGGCATAATCAGTTGAGGACTGTTCGTAGTCATTTAAAGCTTCATTAAATCAAAGTGCTTCACGTTGATTATGGATGGGGATCTTATCAGAATGAACACGATAAATTTATTTCCTAACTAATGGATTCATGTTTCTAACAATATATAAGAAAAAGAAAACTTTTGTATTACATATGTTAGATTACCTTATTTCATTATATGAGGAATGCACGTGTTTCATTCTAAAACACACTAAGAATTACTTTTGAACTTTCTTTTCCCTCACTCTATTTTGTATTATCAAATTGTTGAAACGCCAATTTTTTCCATTTTCTTTCTACTTGTTGAATCTTTCAAGTATTTATTGGATTCTCTTTGGAGAATTATTTGAATTTCTCTTTGTTTAAGAAATTATTTGAAATGGTCAAATGACAATTATTGAATTCTCTTTAAAGAATTATTTGAATTTCTCCTCGTTTGAAAAATTATTTAGGGTGGTTAAACGACCATTATTGATTTCTCTTTGGAGAATTATTCAGATTTCTCCTAGTCTGAGAAATTACTGTCAAACGATCATTATTGAATATTGTCAAACAACCATTATTTGAGGGTGTTATTTATAGACCGATTATCTACTGTGCAATAGTAATCATATCAATTTTAAATTCAACTGTTTTATTTTGGAAGCATCGTGATTGAACGTTTTAAAGAAAATGACGTAATCTGCGAACAACTAGGTAATCTCTTTTTGATATATTTTCAAAATCATAAAATAGGAATAAATAAATTAATTAGTACTATGAGACAGATGGATATCCACTATCCACTCTATATTAGATAAAATAAAATGCATATATAATATTTCAAATTGGTTATAGAGTAAACTATTACGTATACAACTTCAGTGTTGTAAATTGGTTATAGGTCCTTTAAACCAATGCCTACCACTGACTAACCAGTAAGAAACTACAAGAATGATCAAACATCCAAGTGCAACAGGTGTGTAGTTAAGTGTCTCAATTGTTATCGGGTATGAAACTGGCAATGAGAATAGTATAGAAATGATCACCACCCAAATAACTGCAATCCAACCAACAATGATTCCATAACGGCCCAAGTTGAAAGGTCCAGAAACAAAGCTCTTTCTTGCTAAGGTCACCCTAAAGAAGATAGGAAGTGCATAAGCAATGTAGAGATCAATCACTGCTATGGACACCATGGCTTCAAATGCCACTATACTTCCAAGAGACTGCAGTTTTATAAATTGTTCAAATTGAGTTAGAATGAAATAAACTGTTAAGAGATACAATACAACAATATCAAGTCATGATAAGTCAGCTCAGTTGATAGCTGTGCAAGGACATCAGATACAACAATATCGAACCATACCGTTAGGGCCATGCAAAATGATATAATAACAGAAAGCCAAACTGCATATATAGGAACATCCTGCTTGTTAACTTTATGCCACAAAGACGAAAATGGCATGGCACCGTCTCTTGAGAAAGCATAAGCCATTCTGTACAAATTTTAACCATCATAAGTAACTATACAAACATTTAATCTTTCTTTAATGAAAATCATACTGAGAGCATCTGCAGTGAGTTTGTTACCTTGAATTGCTGGTGATTGTACCCATACCGCAGAAAAAAATGGCGACAGCAACAATTCCTAAGCAAATAATACCTCCAATTCCATTTCCATATCTTGCTTTGAACACTTGATAGAATATCTCGGCAATGGCATACCCACCAGCGTCATTATTTTCACTCAAAAGGTAAGGGATGTCAGTAACGGCGTAGGTGATACCTATTATGTAACCCCAACCAACAATAACAGATATCCCAACAGCACTTATGATTCCTTTTGGTCCATTCCTATCCGCACCCTTAGTTTCTTCTGTCTGAAAATTCAAGTTTGCAACAAACAAGTTTTTCAAGGCAAAAAATGTGTAGCATAGCAGAATTTGAACAGACGGTTATTTTTTGTTCCAACCGCAATTGACAATACTGAATGGAAAAGTGTAAAAAATGTTTACCATATGAGCTGATGCATCATAGCCGGTAAGTGTATACTGACTCATTAGAAGTCCTAAGAGAAACATGTAGGGTCTGCTATTGATTCCATCTCCATTATCAGCATTGAAATGAGTGAAAACAAACTTGGTACTAGCCCTTTCCGTCGCAACAGATGGAATGAGAATCATAAGCACAAAAACACCTATAAATTTGTCCGTTCCTATTAGCAATTGAAAAACTAAGGGCTTTGTTCTAAAGATCGAACAGGGAAGTTCTTCATACCTAAAACATTCCAGATAGCACCGAGTTGTCCTAAGAACGATAACACAGTGATTGGAAGGCTGTTTAGCATACCATGAAGGAGCAAAATTCCACCATGGAAAGCAAGAACTACATATTTCGATGCTACATATCCACCACCATTTTTTCCACCAGTGCTAAGTAGAATGATGACCTGAATGAGTTGCGCAAGTGAAAAATCTACACTTGTTGTCCCTGCCCACTGAAAATGTAAACGAAATTATAGCTTTAAAATGATTATTAAAAATATTTTGACCATGCAGTGAAACATGAAGTATTTTTGAATTCCAGAACATGTGACTTCTCAACAATACCAGGCCAATAATATTGAACCTGCGAGAAAAGAGAAACAAAGTACACTAGGTCAGATAAATGAAGGTAGATAGACACGTTCAGATTATATATTGTAGGATGTAAGATTCTTAACACGCTCCCTCATGCCCTGGACTAGACATCTGGAGTGTGGACACAAATGGTGAGTGACCAGATTAGATACATAAAGAAACAGTGTATGCTGGTTAAGATATTGGATAAGAAACATTTGAGTTTGTTTACCATCCAGTAATCCAGGAGGCAAAAGGTGCCCATTTGGGGCCAGCAAGCTTGGCACTCCAATAGTAAAGACCGCCCGATGTCGGAAAAGCTGAACAAATTTCAGCCATTGAAAGTGCAACAAGCATGGTGAAAGCTGAAGCCAAAAACCAACCATATTGCATAGAAACTGGGCCGCCATAGTTCAACCCAGTGTTGTAAAGGGTGGTGATACCGGTGAGCACGGATATAATAGAAAAAGAAAGAGCAAAGTTTGAAACCACCCTGCAGTTGACAACCAATTCCAATGAATCCAAACCAAAAGTAGAAATGAAAGCATAAAGAAGAAAGAATGGAGATAATATTTACGAAAGATCGCGCTTCAGTTCTTGTTTGTAACCAAGTTGAAGAAGACGGTTATGACCAGAGTCAAGTGAAGCATCGCCATTGGTAACTACATGAGATGGGAGTGTCATGTTTTGGGTGACAGCGTACAATATTGTTTGCTTGTAGTCAAGAAATAGAAGGCACGTAGTCAAAACATCTTGGTTATTGTCAAATTTGGCTTATCTATTGATGTCCACATAATATAAATTATTTGTTTCTTTTGTTCTATAGTTTTAAGTGTATTATACGAATATAATTAAACACACTCACGGCCGGCTCTCACTATTGATCAATGTTTTATATTAATTAATATTAAGAACACTCACATAAAAGAGAAATGTTTTGGAAAAAATATAATGCATCAAACATTTCCCATCCACTTTTTTCAGGAAAAACATTCTAAGTAGTTTTTGAAATCATGCACACTTTCATGCTTTCTCAATCTTTTCTCGTGTTGCAAAAAAAATACATACTATGATTCCGTGTCGCACAAAACATTCTCATTGTATACACAATAAATGGACTAAAAACAGTAACAACAATTAGATATGTGGCCGAAACATAGATAGCTAGCAAAATACTCTAATTCAACAGCCATATAAGAACCAAGACAATTGACATTGATTTCTTAACAGAGAATGATTATCTGCAACTGCAACTAAACCTCTCAAAATTCTATAATTTTTACAGATTATGAACATCTCGTGATCTTTCCTATGCCTTTCGGGCAGTCAATGCATCCTTGCATTTTGTGCTAATCCACCACCTAACATGGGGCTGGAATCCCAGCTATTGCCTCGTGCATCTCCATCATGCTGAGATGGGATGTACACAGATACGGCCTGAAGCTCCGCTGATTGTGCAAGTTGAGTGTCATTGTTGACGGGAGGCTGAACATTACGAGTTTCTGCTAACATCTGGAAATATGCATGGGGTCCCCAACCTACATATACAGTTATATTGTATTACACTAAGGGTGTTATTGAATAAAAATTTAATTTAGTACTAATTAAGTTATTGTAACGAACTTAATTAAGTAATATTTCATAGGCAACTCTGGTAGATTATGACACAAGATAAACTCAAATAAATTCTAAATAAGCTCTTCCAAATGACTCCTAACTTTGAATTTGAAAGTCCAAAAGCTAATTATACAACAAGGAGGCATAGCAACATAAACAAAGATGCCAATCTACCATAGACTCTAAATTGATATATCTAGGAAAAGATTTTGGTGGCCATGTACTTAACATTGGAAAAGTTATGTAGCTACGGGCATTGGAAACCTTGTTACAATTTTGGAAGAAAAGCATAACACCTCCCTACTGAAAACCCATAAGAGCTGATAACAGGCTGGGGGTTTTGGTTGAAAATTCAGTCTACAAGATTTGGTAATCCAAGTTTACCTTGAATTTGAGTCTAAGCTCAGCACTAAGCTCATTTCACGTAGTTTAAATTAAATTAAAGTCTTCAAATTGGAAACTTCGTTTTAGCATAAAAATATACTTTTAAGACGACATATTAGAACACTAAACATTAAAATACTAGAAAAATAGAGATGTTATACTCTGGAGAAAATGTTTTCTAGATTAAGGTAAAAAAGTATTCACCAAGATGAGCCTAGCCAAAAGGCCAAAATCAATCCAGGCCGAAATTTCAGATTTATATAGCATATGGTGGATATGGCATGGACATGAATAAAATCGAATTGTCATTACAAGAATATAAAGGAATGATAGGATGAAGGGAATGATTCATAGACATACCGTCAGTATCATATGGAGGTGGAAAGAATTGTAAGTAACAAAAAGAAGCAATTGTCGTTCCTGATAAAATAAGTTCAAGTAAGAAACATTGACAAAAGGTTTACAGAAATATTAATCAAGATGGCTTCAATAAACAAACCTATAAGACCTCCAGCAAATACATCTTGCCAATGATGCCAATAATCATCAACACGGGAGACGGCAATCAATGCTGCCATGAGGACAGGTAAGAGAACAAGACAGAGTTTTGCAATGTGACCGTTACGATCAAACACCCTAACTTTTCCAGATAGATACCAAGACAGATAAACAAGACCCGCAAAGGACCCTGCATACCCAAAAAAAAAAGATTTTCTGAGCTTATATTGTGGCAGTTCGTACAGCTACTGATAAATAAAAAATTGAGAACAAACAATAGAATCATAACATTTTCTATTTTCATTTCTTATAGTTACTAATAGTTACAGAAAGGTCACCTTACTTTCAACTTGGTTCAATATTTTAATGATTTATAATTAAATACTGTTAATTTTTTCATTATTTCCTGTACAGTTTTTTAAAAACAAAAAGCTAAATAAAAATAGATGTTATTTTTGTGATTATCAGTGAAAATAAGAATTGAAAACAAAAATATTTTTTTCAAAATAGTCCCCAAGTTAGTAAGAAGTACTTACAAGATGTATGCCCACTTGGGAAACTTTTGTGACCTTCCTTAATAACACTACTATCTCCATTACACAGAACATCACCTGTTACTTTTTCAAACACCTGAACATTTCATGAAGCAATGCATGTTTACTGATCAAATGACCATTTAATAAAATAATTATGTATCACATGGTAATTAAATTATATTTATAGGACTATCTTGGTGTAGTTGATAAAATTGAACACCCACCCCTGTTCCATTAGGGAAACAGCGCCAGAAGAAATCCGGCCGTGGCCGTCCAACACCATCTTTGATAGCATCAGTTATCACCGCAGTAATGAGTACAGAAAATAGAAGGCCTGATGCATTTGGCAATAGTAACATTATGATATATCATGGTGATGAAATAAGAAGGATAGGGGGAAAACTTTAGAAGGTTCAGAAATGCACCCAATATGGCATGGTGAAAGTCATAAACATCGTTTCGAATGAAATAGTAGACAAGAAAGATGACAAGTGGCAGCAATACTGCTATTACCTGTTCAAAAATTAAAATTCAAGAGTTTATAATCTTGTGTGTTAATCAAATCAAGAGCAAGCATGACATAATCTCAAATATCTAGCAAGGTACGGCTATTTGAAGCGAAGCATAACATACCGGAACTGCCCAAAAGGGAATAGTGTTATCCTTTAGTGGGTATCTAAGGTCCGTCAACATCCCCTCTCCAACAAAACGGTGAAATGGCTCTATTATATTCAAGACAGCATCAATTACCACAAGAAGCAAGAGAATCAACCAGTCATGCATATGTATCCTCGCGACTCTAACTCCATGTGATCTGATAGTGTGTACACCCAACTGAATTTCTGGCATTTTTTTTCTGCAATTGACTAAAATGTAGGTTAGCAGGAATTATGATAGAAATCAGAGCACTGCAGTCCACAAATTTAGGGATATATAGCTAGAGCAAAAACAGAAAGGAGAATGTGTTCATTTACAGCTGATCTTCAAGGTATCTGATAGACACCTAATAGTAAAGAGAGTGTATGTGAGGGAGAAGAGGAAGCTAATTACAACTCATAAATAGACTACATATAAAATCATAAAAAGACTGTATATAAGTTAGGAGTTAGTTAGGAACTCAGGGAGGCTTTTAGTTTTAGCTGGGTTTTATTTTGGGCTTGCCCCCTTTTGGTGATAAAAAAAAAGTTGAGAACTCAGTGAGGACTGCAGGTGATAGGTGCTCCTCAAAATCATTTCCTGATTGCATTTGACCAGGGGTTACCGAATATTAATTAAGGGTACTATTGCCCTAAATTTCATCATCAGTAGCCATGGACCTAAAAAAAACAGAAGTCCCACTCTAACTTAAAAAAGGCATCCCTCTAATTTTTGTTTTAGGCCTACATATATATTGGACCATCCCTGATTAATATTTGAGAAAATAAAGATAATTTGGGAGTTCTCTGTCAAGAAAAGATTGAGAAACTGATTCTAACATTCTTCACAGTGTACAATGAGACTTCTTATGAGGATGAAGCCAGAAGAGGCTCAAAATAACCACTAGATTACTGACACTAACTGAATATGTTGACTCAGCATATCCAGCTACTTACAACTAGAAACTACGCTAGCTACCAGAGACATTACCTACTTGATGCTATACATAAATAATAACTGTACAAGAGCATATATACAAGTGTTGTGGATCATGTACTCTCGATAGTTCAGAAAAATTGTGAATTTCAGGCCCGTGTAGAGGCTATATATACCATAATAGACTTTGAAAGAATGCAAAACAAAAGAGAAAGTGTGTTTTCTGTTAAGCAAAAATGATTCTGTTATATTTCAGAAAGCATAATGAGACCTTAGGGATGGAACCTAAGAGGCTTATGAGTTACCACTAGGTAATGAACACTAACAGAATGTGTTGATTCAACATATTCATTTACAAGGACTATCAACTACTACCATCTACACTAGCTACTTGATGCTATAAATAAGTTAAACTATACAAGAGCATATACAGTGTTAAAAAATACAGACACATATACACCATACAGAAATACATAATATGAATACTAATACTATACAAACACAGACACTATACGGAAGTTTCATGTTTATTTGAGATTTTTATTGCAACATATCAATGGTGAGTAGTAAAGTAAATGATTTGTTTTTCTACAAACACAGCTTATGTTTTTTTTGGGATAAACATGAAGCTTATGTTAATATAATATTTTAACTTCTAAATTTACCATGTAGGACTAAATCCAGATTATCCTAGACTCTTGATTAATAATCAATTTATCTCTATTTTGACACATCCCAAAATGAGGTCACATATTTAAACTTTTCTTAAACCTTGTCAAAGGCACAAAAACACCTCCTAAATCTAATATAGACCTAATTCGAGTTACCTTCTTTTTTATGACAGTTTCTGAATTACAACAAATTTACCAAAATATCCTTATAAGCTTCAAAGTGTTAATACGAAATTCAATGAAAAGCTCCTAATTGAAATGCCAAAGTTAATTCCAACTTATATATAAACCTATTCTTTACAAAACTTGTAACTACTTTAATTTTCATTTTAATACAGTTCTTTCCAAAAGTGTTTGTTAATAAGTTAATCTAAATTACCTCTTAATACTCAAACAAAAGGTCAACACAAGCTCCCAAAATATCTCTGATACAAAAACTCCCATAACAATTTGAAGAACACATACTTCACTTTAGCCACAAAATTACAACAGATATTTAAGTTCTCTCTATCACCGGAAGAACTCAGAAGCATCAATTATAACAATTTATCACTTAAGCATAAAATTAAAATACAGAAAAAAAAATCTAAATCCACTTCGAATTTCGCAATCTCTCTGAATAACAATTGCATGCATAGTAAGGGTTTCATATTTTCATTTCATTCCAAAAAATCAAAAGCACAAATTCCGAATGGAGCATTTCACATATCGCCTCCATAAAACAATCATTAGTAACAAACAACAAAAATTGAATGAATCAGAAACTCAAAAATCTCCGATCCAGAACAAATCAAACACAAATTCAGAAAAATACAAATGAAAACAGTGTGAAAGTAAACCAAAAATATAATAACATTAATTATCGATTAGTTAATTCCAAAAGTTTCTAAACTCTTGCGGTTTCGAATTATGAAAACAAATACAGAAAAAGAAAGAAATAAAGCATGTGCAGTGGAGTAGACAAAAACAGAGAAAGTGAAACGCGCGGAAAGAGTAAAGAAGAATCACAATGCGATGAGAAAGAGAAAGAGAGAGAAGCACGTGAGGCACCTGCAATTGCACGTGCGCGAGATTCGCGGCAGCGGAAGACGGAGTTAGAATGAGGAAGAAAAGAATGAATTTATGATCGGTGGTGGCGGCGAGTAATAGAGAGTGTGAATAGCGAAATAGCGAAAGTAAATGAAATTCAAAATAGTATTGAAAAAGAAGGCGCGTGAGATTATTGTTCTTCCTTTTTTGACTCAAATTATTGGGTGAAGTTGAAACGAAGAGAACGCGGTTTTTAATTTTTGGGGGTATGAATGAGCTTCGTCAGAGTTTCTATTTTTCTTAGGGAATCTTCGTTAATAAAATCATTAATAAAATATTTTATTAAATTAAATTTCATTAATTTATTATTTGTATGCACTTTAACAAATACAGAAACAAACAAAATTAACAGAAATAAGCACTGTACCAAGTGTGGAGACAGATTTTTTTTAAGAAGAAAAAGTGAAGACAGATCCTGAACTAAACACCTTTATTAGTACTAATATTTATTTATTAGCTTATTGTTAAACGTTTACAGAATATATTTTGGAACTAAAAACAATTTGAAAATTAACTTATTTTATATACCCCTTACTTTTTCCTGTCTCCCTTTTCCTTTTAGCTTTTACTTTTTGAATACTCATGCAGAATTTTAATTATTGATAATTATTATTATTTTGTTTAAATTTCATTATTATTAATATTATTACTAGTAGTATATTAGTTAAGGGAGTGGTTAGTTACTGCTAATATATTAGTTCAGCTACTTTAAAATTCCTGAAAATTCGGTTGCCAATATTTAATTTGCCTTTATTAATTGGAAAAACGTCAACATATAGTACCATTTAGATGAAGACATTTTCTTTCTTGAATTTTTTATTATCTAGCTAAATACCTTTGTGAAAGGTACATGTTCTACTAAGCTTGTTGTAAAATACTTAAAAGGGCAAAAAAATAAATACATTTTTTATGTTTAAAACAAGTAGAAGATTGTCTTGTGCTAACTCTTTGCTTAAAGTGACACATTGGAACTGCCACTTCGTCAAGACTTAAGATTTATACAATAATAAAATGTTTAGTTATGGTGTTTCTTGGGTTTTTTTGTGCAAACAAGAAGACAATGTATATGATTGGATAGTTATACAATTTGAGACGTTTCATGGGTTTTCTTTCTTACGTTTCATCCCACTTATTTTACAATTCAAGTTTTCTTGTCAATTTTATTACAATCATTTATAATATTGTCTTTATTCTCCTTATGATTTTTTTTTCTTTAAAATTCATAATTGAACTCCTCCAAGAGTAATCGAATGAAATCGTAAGAGATTTTTTTCAAGTTAATCAAAAAATTTGGGTGGGAATTCATTATGTCCGATTCAAGAAATTAATTTTGAGTAAAAATATTTGATTTCCATTAAAAAATTATAATTGGAATTATTTTTTGTATCGAATTAATTTTTTTTTATTAAAAAACACACACATGAAGGATGTTTTTCTTAGTATAAATTTCGAAAAAATAATGATTTTTTTTAACCTACCATCTCTGAAAAATAATGTGTATGAGTCAGACACGAACACTTATAATTATTTTTAATTTATTTATATTTTAAATATTATCAATGTTGTCGTGTCTGTGTTAATTGGAGTGTCTGTCTTTTGTAGATTTAAACTCAAAATTTATATTAAATTAATTAATTATTTATTTATTTAGAATGTTTGTTTCAAGATAATAAAGTTTTTACATTGATGAGTATGTTTAATAGAATATTGAATCTGATTAAATCGTGAGATCTTAATAACTACAAAGACATTATTTTTAGTGTTTTTAAAGTCAAACTTTATTATAAATAGGGACAGAAATAAGGCACATGGACTATTATACAAGTAATATATATAATATCAAAACTTACAAAACACTATAAAAAGTGTTGTTGATGGTCACAACAAAAAAAGAGAAAAGATTTAAAAATCGATTATAATTAGTAAGAGTATTTGTGGGTTGGATTTTGTCTAATTTGATTAAATCCAACATCCGACCCAATTAATAGTTTTTTGTTTGGGTTGGGTGTTTAACTCGTATTTCTAAAATTATATCGGATTCAAACCAACCCACCCATTATTGGGTTTGGTTGAATTTGTGGCTATCCATTAAATATAATTTTTAAATTTTATATAAAGTATCAATTTAATTAGCACATTTATTTTACAAAAATATTTAAAAATCATAAAATTATAGTATTTAATTTGAATAAAATTCATTGTTTAATACCTAAAAACTCTTTTACGATTCCGATCAAGAAAAAAGCTATACAAATGGTTTCAAAAAGTATACAAATTGTGTAAAATATGACCTAAAAAGTAAGATATCTCTCTTTGAATAAAGAAATTTGATATCTCAAATTTGATTTAAACTAGGGCTTTTACAATTAATAAAAAATATAATTATGTTAAAAAAATGCATGGTAAGAATTATGCTAGATAATTTATGAATAAAATTTTTGTAATATGTCATTAGGTTGGGTTCGCGGTTCCTGGATTTAAAACTTCAAACTTGTTTTTCGAACCAAATACCAATGA